TACAGTGACGAGCAAAACTGTAACATGGTTTAACACTTTTTGTTTCAGCCACCGCTATATTTCCAAGTTATAACGACTTTCATCCTTTTGTTGAATATTCTTGTTGGTACATCCCTACTCCCTCTCTCATAATGATTTGAATTCAATACAACAACAATAAAAAAACCAGCGGACCAAAATGTAAATTAAGGCAGATGTTACAGTTTTGCACTCACTCTCAGTTTTGCATTTGACAGTTTTCTTTTACTTAGTTGGAAGTCAGACTTTTTTCTATATTGTAATTTATTGAAGAAGTGATCACCAGTAAATAACATAGTTAATCAGGAACCATAAATGTAAATAATAGATTCACTGCGGAAAGGCGGAACCGCACGAAAAGTGGCAAAAGTTTTGGAATTTGCTACTTAAAAATGTTAAGACTTAGAAAAAATATAGCCTAAAGTGTTCCCAAGGACAAAGGAAGTCTGTTAAAAAATATTACGGTACGATATCTTGTGAACTTAGAAGCAAGTAGCGATGCAGCCACTATTACAGAAGCGCTTAAGGTATTAAACTTTAATGCAAATCAATAGACAGCGAGGCGAAGAATTGCCAAATTGAGCGCAAAGGCATCATAAAGAAGAAAAAAGCAAATTTGATCATAATACATGTGCGAGTGTGGCAGCATTTCGCAGCATCGCACGAAAGCCGAACCGTTGCCTATTGGGATATGTTAGGCCGTTCAGAATGCAATAAAAAACATATTTTTAAGTTTCAATTGAAGGTTATTTGGTCTGACAAGACTAAATTAATCGCTTTCAATCAGATGGCCGGGCATGGTATTGGATCAAAGACCCAAATTAAGCCTAAGCGCATCATGTACGGCAAACTGTGAATCACAGTGGTAGGATCTTAATTGTTTGGGGTTGTATTTCAAAAATTTTGTTGGTCCGTTAGTACGCATTATGCGTAAGGAACAGTATCTGTTCATATTTCAACAAAATTTGCAAGATGTAGTCAAAAATTTGAGTTTCTGCTGAAAAATCACCCAAAACATACTGCATATGTTCGCAAAGACTGGATACAAAAGAAAAAATTTGCTAATTTGAAATGACCTCCACAAACCGCGGACATGAATCTCATCGAGAATTTGCGAAATCAACTAAAAGCACAGCTAATAAGTATCAAAGTCCGTAAAATCGAGTACATGAGCTGTGAAAGCAAACTAAGGATATACCTCCAGAATTTTTACAAAGATACAAATAAGGTATGCCAAATCACATCCAGGAACTGAAACAGGCAAAAGAGTACTGAACATTGTGTTAGTAGTTCTTTTTTTTCGTGAAAATTGTTAAAAAGCTCTTAAAAATATATGAGTGCAAAACTGTAACATCTGCCTTAATTTACTTTTTTGTCTGCTGTTTTTTTTATTGTTGTTGTATTGACTTCAAATCATTATGAGAGAGGGAGTAGGGATGTACCAACAAGAATATACAGCAAAAGTATGAAAGTCGTTAGAACTTGGAAATATAGTGGTGGCTGAAACAAAATGTGTTAAACCATGTTACAGTTTTGCTCGTCACTGTACATATCCATTTATATTATTTTAAACAAAGCTATTATATTATTTTAAACAAAGTAAAATTTAAAATGGAATATGGATATGAAAATTAAAAAAAAAAAATTTATTGCCTGGTCCGTCCGGGATTTGAACCAAGACAAACGGCGAGAAGCTAAAAAAGTTGCATCGCCTCTAGCTTACGCACCGTAGCACATTCTTGAAATGACAATCTCTAAATCACTACATATATGAAATTATTCATTCATCCAAAAAGACAAACGCATAAATATGTATGCATTTATAAATGTAAATATGTGCATACATATGTATTATTGATCTGATT